CGGGGTCCGTGCCTTCATACGCTACATTATTGCTCATTGATCAAAGCTGCAGTGCTACAAAGAAAAGCTGGTGTATCAGAAGTCGTATGTCCAAGAAGGCTGAATAACAGTCAAAACGACAAGATGAATAATAAAGTTATTTGGGAAAATATGGTTTCCTTATTATTTGTTTTCCTTCACTTAAAACACAAAAAAACCCAATTATTCTGTAACGGATATTTGTTTTCCTTCACTTAAAACACAAAAAACCCCAATTATTCTGTAACAGATGAAAGACAGTAGCACCAAAAATCAATAAAAAAAAATTGAAGAACGTGATTTGTGAAGAGGTCATACTGAGACAAATCCCTGTCTTATATTTAAAACTATAATTCGTTTGCATAATTTATTCAGCATAATAATATAATAACAGGCAGAAATCTTTAGCTACTGACCAAAGAATAAAGCAGGTTGGGTTTTTTTTCTCCTAATGCTGCTAAAGTGATGTTTCTGTGTCTGTGAAAGCTATGAAATCTAGACTAAATTGCCTCAACAAAATAAATTGACAAACAGTAACACCACCTTAATCTTTTAGTTCTACTCATACTGTACAATTATCCATTACCTATGAACTTCTATTTCTTGAAATCCAGACAGGCACCAGTCATTTGTATAAATCAATAAAAGTAGCTCCACAATGTTTCACCTTCTGCTTGAGATAAAGGATGTGTAATATATTTTCTAACTTTTTTAATTTTACTTAAAAATTTACAGTTTTTAAAGATCACACACACACCCCAAAGCAACTAAAAGACTTTATCACAGTCAAGGAAATCTAATGGAGGAAGTAACATGTTCAAGACCTATTTTCAAGCGTAGTTTTTGTATGTTTTCCCATCTTTTACAACAGAACTTCCATACTCAAAAGTGAGAATATCCTTTGAGTGAAGAAGCTCCATTTCCTCTTCCCACGAGATGCCAATCAGCCTTTGAACTGGATAAACTGTACTTTGCTTTCATTCCTCAAGAAAGTTTAACTTTGAGAAATGCAGCTTCCCAGAATAATTACTCAGGAACATTCTTATGCTAGGTTTTCACTGTTGCCTATTCTTTTATTGTCTATGAATATCCTCTGGGTACTAATATTTACAGTGAATACAGAAGAACAGCAATATATTGTTAAGAATTTTTTTTAGTGATATTATCAATACCTGTAGGAAATGCTGCCCAAGCAATAGCAGGGGATGTAGTCTGCTTTTCACCATTTCCAAACTCGTAACTCTCTGCTGCCTGGAAATATGAAAAAAATATTGTTACATATTTTACAAAATGCTATGAAGTCCCATCAAACCAGTTGAAAATAGTTAAATTCAAAAATTAAGTCATCCAAATAACATACCTCAAATCCTCCAAAGTCATCGTCGTCCATTTTTCAACTGGAACTAGAATATAGCAGAAATCTTGATTTAAACTGAAAAAAAAAAAAACCACACCAAAATAAACCAACAAACCATGATATTAACGTGTTATATCCCCTCTACTCACAAAATAGCAATAAAATGTTTCTAAAACCAAAGGTATGGTGTTAGTTTTAAAGGATAGACTCAGAACCAGTCACTGTGGTCAAACCTTAAAAGCCCAGCAGCCAGAAGTAATAAAATGCTCTACGCTGCAGGAAAATGGGTATATTTCATTGGCCAGTCTCATAAGAGAAACATGCAGATTTTATGATCAACTAGGAGTTAAAAGACAAAATGACTCATATATTTGTGTTTCAGTTACATGGCAGACAAGTAGAAACCTTCACTTGGATACAACTGCTACCTAGCTCATCTAGGTGCTCTTTATAACCTCCTCACTTTTTCATTTAGAAATGAATATTCAGTCATTCATCCAAGTACTCAACTCCACGGGTTACCTGAAGTCTTCCAAGCTTACAAGTTCTACAAAAGATTAAGGGACCTAAATAAGAACTTTTTCACATAGAGGATGTAAGGTCTAGAACTGCAAGACATCTCTTAAGAAGCACACTTTCATTGATCAAGGTAAACAAAAAAATTGGGTAGTTTACAATGGAACCTGAATATCTTCAAGGGAAAAGATAAGCACTGTCCATCAATGTTATCAAAGGACTTTTGAAAGCAAGAATGTAGAAAAAGCTTTCCAACACAAGAAAGCAGAAAGGTGATACTTGAAAAGCTTTATCTATTGCTCTCAAGTATAACAGTCAAGTCCCTAGTACCTCAACAAATAGTACTGGAAACACTAAATAACCTAAGTCTGGATATATATTAAAAAACCAAAAAAAGTCCAGGAAGTAGGATTTCTGACCATTCGATTCCAAAAGGAAGAACTTTCTCCATCTCAATGAAGATGATCCAATTTAATGTGATCACGATCGACCGTGTATTTCATAGTTTTGTGTTTATGATTTAAAATATAAAAATATTTTTCATTGTGAAGTTGCTTTTCCAAATCAGCACTGTGATTAAATCCAAAAAGATTTCCTGCTTTTCCCATCTCCTCTTAGCTGTCTGGCAACATCAGCACAAACTGCAACTTAGAAAAAGACTGTGGTGAATTTCTGGAAATTTTTCTGCTACCACAGAGGTTCCTCCTTAGGTTTCATGGAGGGTTTGATATAGATTTTACAAACTGATCAGCAATTTTGAGCTGTAGCCCTGAATTCTGTGGCATTTTGATATATTTACAGTTAAATTGCAGTTCCTTTTACAAGAATGCAGGATAAGTTACTCAGCTAATGAAAGTAACTCAATATATATGGCTGTTTAATAAGGGCATTAGATGTATTTTTTAAAATAAATAAATAAATAAAATCATTCTGATACATGAATGATTACCCCCCAAAAAAAACCCTTCAGGGTCTTTAGAGAATGGCAAAATGTTTGTAAAGTTAATTGACTTCAGTCAATAGACTGCAGGCTCAAGAAACTTTTATTACTGTGAAAGCACATGCTCAGAAACAGAAGAATTCAAACGGTTTGGAGGAAGTCTCCAAATTGAAGTATTAGAATGTCAGAGGGGACACTTTCAGTTTATATCCACTGCTGAAAATCACTACCAAGAAAGATTTCAATTCAAATACACATCTTCCAAAGTTTAACAAATCAATTTTCAAGCTCTTACAGATGAACTTAGTTTAAAACACCACTATCATACAGTGTTAAGTAGACAGATTTGGTTAAATTAAAGAAGAGTATTGTCCAATATTCACATGTGGTATAAGAACTAAATATCTTTTTAGGGACTGCAAGGGGTCTTGTTGGTTCTGTGTTGGTTGAAGTATTGTGCTGGTTTATTTTTTAAGAGAGAAAGAGGGTAGTTGGGTACTTTTCCCATCAATGTTAACCTCCATTGGTCCAACATTTATGCATTGTATTAGCATTCAGAGCTTTAATATATAATTCAAAAAAATAACACATGCACACACAAATGATAGCTACGGAAGTTGTACAGATCGAACATCACTGCTGAAGCAGACAGCAATAAACAAACACTTGAGATGAGAATGTCAAGGTATTCACTCTACCTACTATTAAACACCATCCAAAATAGACTGGTGATTTACATAGGTACTGCAAAATGCAGCATTCAAGAAGCAATCAAAGCAGATAGTTGAAGAAAGAGAGGCTTTAGGAAGGCAAATGAGTATTTTACTATACATTATGCGTCACATGAACAGGTCCTATAGGCTCTACCTAAAGTTACTTCAAAGGACCTCAGTAATTACTTCAAAGTTTTCTCCCTGAAGAGCAAGAGACATTATTCCCGTCATCTCAGAACTGGTTATGCCTCAACTGGAGAAAGTACTGCATTTTAAAAAGACAAACTGGAACAAGTTCAGAGGAGTGCAACAAGAATTAACGCAATTTTGGAAAGGCACACTAAAATTGATAGAAGAAAAGGATGTAGAGCAGAAGAAAAATATGGAGACCAACTTGTTATTGTATCCCTCCTCTCTGTTATTATGTGTCATATATAGTTTTCATAAGTCTGGTAACGATCACAAGACTATTCTGACCTAAGATTATCTTTCTCCACACCTTTTAACAGAGACATTTCATGGCTGTAACAGCACAATTAATCTATGAATTATTCCACACATCATTTAAATGGAATAAAAGAAACAGACTCCAAGCAAGTCTCAGCAGTATCACTGGTGTTTTCATGCCAAACTGCTAATCCTCCAATTTCCAGTTTTTTTGAGATCCCACAGGAATTCTAGGCAAAGTGACTCTCAACCAGGACTGTTTGCTAATTGCCCATGTACAATATATATCCATACATGTACACACACATCTGTTTTCAAAAACAAAGCTAAGTTTTTAGTCCATAAAAAAAAAATCCTGATTTGTTTACATGCTTTGTTTGCTGTATCCAAAAAACCAAAAATAATAAAAATATCACAACAAAACTGGCAAACTTAGCATGTATCACACGTAAGCAGGAAGCAAATTAGGACAGCAAGCAGGGATTAAGTCTTGAGGTATGCGGGCACAGGGCACTTCAAAAACTCAAAGGTTGAGAAGTTCTTTTCAAAGAGTGTTAATGCAAGAGCTCTTAGTAAGAGATGCCTTTCCAAAAAGATGTTGTTTCTTGCATAAAAAGAAACGGGTGCTTTCTGCAAGAAGGGAACAGGGCCACACCAATGCTATAAGAACTGTTTAGAAAAAAAAATTCATCAAGCCTATTTTTAGCTAAGAGTCTTTTACAGCCCTTAAAACTACATGTGCATTTAGCTCTAAAAAAAAACGTTTAAAATGTCGAAATAAATCATTATAAACTTAATTGATAACAATGCAGACCGAATACAGAATTTCTCAATTGCACCCATTATTCTGGTGATGGAAATGCACTTCTGGTATAAATAAACAGCAGAACTAGCCTAACACTTCACATAGAACTGCAACAATTTTGGGAGCAGCACTTTTTAATCAATCATCTATTCCAAAATGGGTAATCAGACTTTTCTTTCCTCACAGACTAAGGATTTTATCTGTGGCACCAGAATAGGAAAGAATACATTAAGTGCTGACAATCTGCAGAAGGATTTAAAAAATAACACAAAAAACCAAAACAACCCACACAGTCTTACCATGACTAAATGCGGTCTCTTAAAATATGCCTGATACTGGAATTAAGTAACTGTAAAATTGGGCAACAAGAAGTCAACCTCAAAATTACAGATTCATAGAAATTATGGTTGGAAAAGACACAGCAGGTCATCCATCCCAGGCCATTTCCAAAACACTACAGTTCTCAAAACGGTCATGTCCTAAAAGGCTGGAGAAGCTCCCCAGCACACTCCTGTGAAAAGAAGGAAACTTTTCATGGATCACAAATAAGTAAGCTACTGCATTTCCAGTACATTTTATCAACAACTTTTTATTCCTCAAATCGTACAATAATTTAGGCCAGAACTCAGACCAGTAGGTCATACAATCCAAGCTCCTGCTCAAAGCAGGGTCAACACTGCATTCACATAAGGTTGCCCAAGGCTTCCTTCTCTATGGCTGATAACAACGCACGATGGATATATTCAAACACAGATACTGAGATGCTTGCAAGCTTTCCTACATAAAATGCAGTCACCAAAGCCTGACCATCAGCTTAACACAGGTCTTTGGGAAACTTTGGGAAAGGCACTTACCTAACAGACATACCAAAATTATGGTTTTATACACAGGAAGACCAGAAACCATTCACAAGGAAAGAGACAGAAAAAAAGCCCCTTCTCCCCATTCCAACAGTTAGGAGGAGAAGGAATATTGTAATTCCACCAGAAATCCCAGTATTCTTCATATCCAGAAGGCAAAAGTGGTAGAGACATCAAACAGTGAATTAAGAAGGATTCTTCATTCCCCTTAAAAGTTTACCTCTGGTTAGTAAGCTTTCAAATTAATAAAGTCCTGACCTATTCCTTGATAAATCAAATATAAATTTACCTCAATAACAAAGACAACTAATCTTGCCAGGTACATTCAGCTGGGAAACATACTACCTGGCCTGTAATCTTGACTAAGTTGCTAACTTACTTGCAGAACTTTGTACATTTTTAAAGGAGCAACTTAAGGACCATATTGCTGTCTCTTCATTTTGTCAGCACAGTATGTGTGGAGCTGGCGGAGGGTGGGGTCACCACATTTGTATTTTTGGCAAACACTGCTGGTGGTTAACCCCTACCTATGACAACGTGTCTGTTTTACTTGCATGCTTCTGTTTACTAAATGACTCATTCAGTGTGTTCAATCTAGGACAAGCTTATTAGCCGCTTCTTTACCAGATGTAACGTAGACCGCATTATTTGAAGAATTAAGTCCTTGGTCAAAACTGCAAGCTCCAAAAAGCTTAGCCAAAATAAATATGAGATTTAAAAAACAAAAACAACCCCCCCCCAAAAAACCCCAAACCAGTAAAATGAAAAAGTGGTCATTTAGAAAGCATACATAC